CTCTCTCTCTCTCTCTCTCTCTCTCTCTCTCTCTCTCTCTCTCTCTCTCTCTCTCTCTCTCTCTCTCTCTCTCTCCCTCTCCCTATCTCCTCTTCCCCTCTTTCTCTCTCGTTCCCTCCCCCTCCCCCCACGCTGGCTCGCTCGCGCTCTCTCTTCTACCGATTACTCTTTCTCTCTCTCTGTCTATCTATTTCTCTCTCTTTCGTCTGCTGCGTTCCGACTATATAGCTTACCTGCAAGAACCCCGGCCAGGTAGATGATGCTGATGCGGAATGACCCGTGCACCATCTCCAGCGGCAGGCCGACTAGTAGCTGTACCATCAGGTTAAACAGCAAATGAATCCATCTGCAAGACGAGAATAAGAGACCAATTAGCGTCATCTTACGATGATACATCTCGGTAACGCTCAACAGTGCCGAAAAGTGATAAACAATGCGGAACAATCCTTGAAAATGCATACCGATGCTTGGAAATGTATAACAATTCATAACTGCGTCTGAAAATCTTTGGAAAATACTTCACCGACTACAACTGTTATGGAAGACACTTGAAAGAACTTACTTAACAATGTTTGGACTATGATGGACAATTCATGACAATGCTTAACCATGTTTAACTATGATGGACAATTCATGACAATGCTTAACCATGTTTAACTATGATGGAACTATGATGGACAATTCATGACAATGCTTAACCATGTTTAACTATGATGGACAATTCATGACAATGCTTAACCATGTTTAACTATGATGGTGATTTTTGTAAATACGTAACAATGCTTTATTAGCATTGGCAATTCCTGACAATACTTAACAATGGGTAATTAGCATTGGAAAATTTTGATAATAGTTAGCAATGCTTAACAAGGATTGGCGATGCTTGGAAGAAGTTTATTAATCGGAAAAGCATTAACGGAGATGACGGATCACATGCAGACGTTTTAAGGAAACAATCTTGCTGACAAAGATTATTTGTTTGAACGCGTGTTGGATTGCGAGCTGGTAATGTCTTACACGCGAAATACCGGCCACACAAATCCGGCTACGTGCGCGCGTAACTCTCTTGGATATTCCCACTGTTTGCCTGCAGGGAATGCTACATGTAAAACAAACCTGCTCCCTATAAATTTCCCCGATATTCCCAACTCAGGTTTGTCTGCAAAACGTAAAATTTCTCCTCAAAGCCTATCTCATATTCCAGTGCAACGCAGCCAACACATAGCTCCTCAAAATTTCGCTCCATGTTACAAGAGCCAGAATACGTTGCTATATAAGCGGATGGGACAAATTCCTTTCATCCTCCCTCCTTCACACGTTCCCTCGCCCTCTTCGCTCTCTCCTCCTCGAAATAAACTTTCACCCTTCAGCGTAACACAGCGCAAATGATCGGGGCACGCCAGCACAAAAGCCACCACTTTTCCCCCAATACATTCGCTAGTCGAGTTTGCATAGCCTGCTAGCGCTCACACTCACTCGGTGCTCGTAGACAGGAAATATCGTTTTCCGTCGTCCCACCGACGTTTATCTCCGGCAGTACGTCGGCATTGTGAACGTAGTGGCGGACAAATCGACGCGCGACAAAGACGGCCATTGTTCGCAGGCAACCTCTCCGGAGCGCAACGATATGAATTTTAAATAGAAAAACTGAAATGCAAAAGTTTTGCGTCGATTTGCGTCGCACAGGGGAGAGAATTACCGGTGCCAACAAAGGGCGTTGTGTGAGAGAGGCACGTTGTAAAGGTCGTCAGTCAAAGCGCTGGACCACTCGCGCGCGGGGCCGCGCCTGTCTGCATGCGTGTGTCTGGAGAACGAGATAATACGCGGGCAACAAAAATTACCAACATCCTTTTCAGTGCACCTGAGCCGAATGAGCATTTACATAAAGAAACGCAACAATGACAAGAGCATCTTTTGTCGAGATGGTTTCCTGGACGTCAGACTGTCGTGGGCGCGCGATCGGTTACGCGCATTTAGTGCACACAAACGGATGCGGTGGCCGTCTACGTATACCGCATTCCGTAATCCGTGAGAAATGGAAAAAATGGGTGATGCACATGATTATCGCATTGGTAAGGCCCGGCAGCGCAAGGTAACTGTTGCACACAAGTAGCTGTTACACATCGGTAACTGTCATAAACAGGTAATTGTCACAGACAGGTAGCTGTCAAAGACGAGTAGCTGTCACACACATGTCATAAATATTACTGCCATATGCAGGTAACTGTCACGGTCAGGTAACTGTAACAAACATGTTATTCTTACATAGAGGTATCTACCACAGACATGTAGCTGTGACATAGGGGTAACTGTGACACACAAGAATTTCTGTTGCATAAGTGTATCTGCGATACACGGGAACTGTGACACATTGACAACTGTCACATACATGTAACTGTTACGCAAAGGTAACTGTCGCACACGTGGATGTGTTACGTACATGTTACTGACACACACCGGCACCACAGTCACAGACCGACAGCTATCACAACAATGTAACTATTACTAGCATGCAAGTCTCACACACAGGTAATTGAAACCAACCAAAAAAGACAGGTATGCTGTCTGTTTTCAACAATTACCCACAGGACATATGGACACATTCTCATTTAAACATTTTTTATGCGATGAGAAACCCGTTAAATGCACTCAGATGTGCTGCAGAGGGAGACGTCTCTTTAACTGTAGTGTTTGCACGGGCACAGGTGCTGCACTTGCCTTGCAGAATAGAAAAAGCTTTTAGCAGCGACATCGCACCATTCCTATACGAAACTCGTAAATACAGTCATTTAACTCGTTGTGCACGCTGGAGAGTAAAGGCTCACGGGCAGAAAAGCTGCACGAGCAACACATTTCGTTTTCCGCTTCCATTATGCGCGGCCGAGTACCCCCACGTCAATATTTTATCCTAAACCAAACTAAATGCCAATTTAGCGCACCTTTTCGCTGTCTGAATGCTCAGTCAGAGCTTCGACAAAGCTATCGTAAATCGCCATAAACACGCGGGTAGCAAACACAGGGTAACACGCATACATGCATGCGTGCCCCCACCCCGGCCGCAGCGCGGCGGTGAGCGCGGCAAATGTCTTTAACCCCTGCGTGTCACAGGCCGGTGTTTGTTGGTTAACAGCTTGCCGCCAGCCGTCCATATGTCTGCACGGCCGCCTCGGACAATGGCACAACAATGCCGACTATATCAACAGCTGACAACACTCGGTGAGTGAACACAATGTTCGTATAATGATCGCACACGAGCGCGCGTACACGTATGCGTGCGGCCAGCAGCAACAACTGTTAGTCCAGCGGCTCACTTGAGGCCGTTATCGTGCACTCCAGTCACCAATGCCTGCTGGATGAGGACGAGGCACGCGTCTTGCTGTCGCAATGCGTTCTCCCTCGTGTTGTCTATACATTCACGCATCGCGTTACTATAGAGTGTCAGTAGCACGTAGACTGCAAGTAGTCCCGCCTGACCGTGGTCGCCGCGGGACCATGATCGGATATTATATTTTCCTTCGCATGCCCATTGTTCGGGACTCGGAACTCGGTTAGTTTGACAAGCGTGGCTGTGGGGACGTACGTGCTGGTCGCACGGACCGCAGGTCGCGCTCATCAACGTTAACATGGCTAACGGAATGTCGTTCGTTAAACCATGATGGTTGTAATCTCGATATTCGTAGCTCGGTGATTCCGGAATACGTTTTTTAGTATAGCAATAGATTATGGAAGAACGTCAATAATATAATCCGGCAGCGGAGCTCTCTCAATCTTTCTCTCTCTCTCTCTCTCTCTCTCTCTCTCTCTCTATTTCTCTCGCCCACTCTCTTGGCTCCGTATATACATAGCCACCGCCGCTGCCGCTCCGCTGTTTACTAAACACAATTACACAAACGGTCACCGCGTAAACGGCTCGTTTCAAAACATTTTAACAGCTTTGTTATACAGCCATCGCGGCGCGAGAGAGATGGAGAGAAAGAGAGGGAAAAGCGGGAACACTCGCACGAGGGAAAAACCGCCGCCTCTCGTTGTTTGTTTACCGCAACGCGAGAGAGAACTTAATAAACTGGGGTAATCTAGCGCTGCGTTAGCGCGCCGGCACTATCCCGACGCCTGGGTAAATATTTTGCTTCGCCGTTAAACAACGGGTTGTGACTAGCCAGCTCCCTTATTGCCTCCGACAAACACGTCGCAGCACGCCGGCGCGCCGTTTGAAACTCAACATCAAAGGGGTGGCGAGTACGCGCAGACGAAACGAGCGTACGCGCACGCACCTCCCTGCGGCCACGCGCGCGCACTTCACCAGGTAGCAAAAAAAAAGAAATCGAAAAAAGCGAGTCCATTACGCCCAATTTTTTCCATCATTCATACGGCGAAATACGCAAACAGAATACACTGTCTACGATTTTATAAGTAGCAGGGCTCCAGTCGCAGATACAAAGGAACTACTATGTACGCGCAAAGACGCGGTGCCTAATCGGGAGCAGCATGCCCGTGATATATATATATATATATATATATATATATATATATGCTTATGTATATATACTAGCGATACACGAGAAGAGGAAAAAGAGCTCGCGTGATCTCAACGCTGCAGAACCGCGCCACGCGTCTCCTGTCACTACAATACACGTTCCGCGGGCACGGAAGGTGAGCGACTGAGAGAGAAGGAGGGGAGAGGGAGCGAAAGAATGAGGGCGAGAGAGAGCAAAGAAAGTGAAGGGGAGAGAAAACGAGAAGGGCTCACGAGAGAAAGAGAGAGAGCGAGAGCGAGAGAGAGAGAGAGAGAAAGAGAGAGAGAGAGAGAGAGAGAGAGCGAAAGAAAAGAGAGAGGGAGACACACAGAGAAAGAAAGCTATCCAGAGATGTAAATATCGGCATGCTGAGACAATGGTATCATTGTTCTCTCGTCGCGGGAGGATGTTGCTAGGGTGAAGCGACGCGTGGCCCACACTAATCGCCCGCGCGTGCTCTGCGCAAACAAGACCCCCAAGTCTTCTTTAACCCCCTTCTCCACGCCGCAACCTAAACACGGGAAGCCACAGGTATACCCACCTATGTTTGCCACCGCGCATGTTTGTCAGGGGTAACTGCCGCTGATTGAGCGGACAGGTTATGAAAGGGTTGCAAACAGAGTGCCCCTGACAGCACACCCCCACTGCGATGCGTTGATGCTGCCATTGTAGCTGAGAACCGGCCAACAACTAACGAAGAGATGGTGAGCAAATATTATCGTTACAATTTCCTTCACGTTGTTGTGTCAGAGTTGTCTTTCACAACTTCCATATGTACCTAATCCACTTGACTGGCAGAACACTATTACACATTTATATCTACCACACCACT